TGTGTGTGTGTGTGTGTGTGTGTGTGTGTGTGTGTGTGTGTGTGTNGTTTACTCTTTGGAGCAAAAAAATGTTCTTCAGCGCTTCTGAGGTGGTCAACATAGTTAACCGTATCTCATCGGATCCTTGTCTTAGAGAAAAAAGGTTTTATCCAGTTGTGCAAGACGGACGTAAGTAGATGAACAAATGGCGGGTAATTCAGTGTGTGCGTGCGTGCGTGCGTGTGTGTGAATGTGGTTTTGTTGTGTGTGTGTGTGTGTGTGTGTGTGTGTGTGTGTGTGTGTGTGTGTGTGTGTGAGAAACAGGTGCAAGAAATGCTGGAAGTATTGGTGAAATGAAGAGTATATATTTTTACGTAGATGTAGTGGGAGAGTTCTAATAGCTTGTAGATATAACCAACCTGATTCCATCATACAAAACTAGGCCTTAAAAAAAATAACTGTTTGTTAGTTCAAGCCAGAGATTTGTAAGCAAATTAATGACTTAAACTGCAATTTCGTAGTGAAATATTGTAATGTGTGCTCGCAGTATAAACAACAAGTTCCCTCACCTTCCAGAATCCTGTTTAATTGGTATATTCTGTGCTTGTGCTTGTGCTTGCGACAAGAATTTTTAAGATTGCACCATGAAACTATGGATTGACTTGTTCAATGACAGCAATCACAAACCTGCAGCTTGAAGGCACAAAAGGTAATTTTCATTTATGTACCCTGAAAACTGTTATTGACCAGCAACGTTAGGCCTTAAAATCAGCAATGTATATAAGTACCAGTTCTGTCTTCACAAAGGCTTATATGTTACTTAGTTATATTTTTTTGTGAATTTACCATGTACACAATAAAAAGTAAACATCTGCAAATTTCCTGTTTGCATTGATTTTGTATTTGTATTGGCCACCCTGCACACATTAAGCTAACGTCATTTCTGAAACATTAAGCAACGCTGTACGTGTTTCCAGTCGAGATTTGCAGGCTTTACTTTATTCAGTTTTCTGGAACAGGTTGTTTTTTTATGTGAAGTGCGAAACAAGGGCCATTTTTTTTTAGATTGATAAAAATAAAGGCGCGTGTTGGACGGGGAGACCATCAGGGGATTGAGTAGCTTGCTTTTAGTGGGTCAGCCATATTTGATCCGTGGACTAATTGGTCTGTGGATCAGCTTGTTCTGAATGCTCTCCTACATGTATACAAACCAGTCTGTCCCATTATCAAAAGCCCAGAATTGACAACCTAATGGAATATGAACATCAGAATTATGGCCTGAATAATAAAGTTTTGTTTTCCTTATGTCATTGGAGAAGCCTTTGCAGGAAGACTGAGAGCAACGTGAATAGGATCATGTGGCCAATCAAATACTGCAAGATCAAACAGGGAGAGAGTCTTTGAAGCGAATTAAATGGGCTTCATTCTGGGTTGTATTGAACCATTTAGACATCACTTTGTTGTAATATGTGAATTGTTTACGCTTTGGAAGAGTTGAAGGAAAAAGGTTCTGCTTTCTGTTTCTGGCATCATTAGTGGGTTTTAACTGATTAGAAGGTCTTTAGACCACATAGCTAAATACTATTGACCAAGGCAACATGCTGCTAAAAAAAAAAAAAAAAACTGTCCTGGCTTTGTTGTCATTCATTTT